GAAACAAAGAAACACGGCCCAAATGAAAGAACAGATCAAAACTCCAGAAAAAGAACTAAATGCAATGGGGATAAGCAATCTATTGCATGCAGAGTTAAAACCACTGGTTATAAGGATGCTGAAGGAACTTACTGAGGACCTCAACAGCATAAAAAAGATCCAGTCAGAAACAAAGGATACTTTAATTGAAATAAAGAACAATTTACAGGGATTTTCATATCTCTGTAATTCACATAGATTTTCAAAATCTAATTTAAAAAATAATGAAAGAAATTCCCTAATTTGGTGAAGGAAATATAGACATGCACATCCAGGAAGCACAGAGTCCCAAACAACATGGATGCAAAGAAGCACACTCCAAGACACATAATTAAAATGCCAAAGGTTAAAGCTAAAGAGAGAATCTTAAAAGCAGCAAGAGAAAAGTTAGTTACCCACAGGGGAATTTCCATAAGACTTTCAGCTGATTTCTCAAAACAAACTTTGTAGGCTAGAGGGGATTGCCAAGAAATGTTCAAAGTCAAGAAAAGTAGGGACCTAGAGCCAAACCTGCTACCTGCATCCAGCAAAAGATCATTTAGAATCGAAGGACAGATAGAGCTTCCTAAAGAAGAAAAAGCTAAAGGATTCATAATCACCAAACCAGTATTATATGAAATATTCAAGGGTCTTCTTTAAGATAAAAAATATAAACAATAAAATGGCAAAATATACATATCTATCAACAATCGAATCTAAAAAACAAACTAAGCAAACAAGAAGAGCAAAGAACAAAGAAACATAAGAGAGATTTCTGTTGACTATGCTGTAATTGCCAGGAAGGCTGAAAACAAAATTTGTTGCCTCCAGCACATCCTTCTGGTTCAGATGGTCTTCACTAGAGAACTTGTGGTATAACCTTCAACAAGTCAGGTGAACCCCTGAAGTGAAGACCAGAGTTAGAAGCAAAGTTACATACAGGGTGGGGCAAAAGCAGGCCTATAGTTGTTTACATGGAAAACATAATAATTAATATATAATACAAGAATAAACTGTGTTTCACATACTTAAAACTATAAATCTACTTTCGTCCTGCCTTGTACTTTGTTTTACTGATACTTTTGACTACAGATAGTTTTTAATCAAGGGTAATTGTGGCAGGGGTGGAAAAATTAAGTACTGTTAACTAGTATGAATATACTGAGCTATCCATGGGTTAAGATAATAATTGTTGGCTGTGGCAAAGATTTGGGGGTTAGCCCTGGCCTGGTGGCACAGTTGGTTGGAGCTGACACATGTCCCAAAAGGGTGTGGGTTGATTCCCCAGTCCCCAATCAGGGTGTGTATGGAAACCAGTTGATGCTTTTCTCTCACACTGATCTCTCCCCGACTCCCCCCAAAAATCAGCCCTGACAGGTATGGCTCAGTTGGTTGGTTGATTCCCAGTCTCAGAGCACACGTCTGGGTTGTGGGCCAGGACCCCAGATGGGGGCCTGTGAGAGGCATCCGATCATGTATCTCTCCACACATCGATGTTTCTCTCCCTCTTTCTCCTTTCCTTCCCCTCTTTCTTAAAAAAAATTTAAAATATATTTAAAAGAAAAAAAAATCTTAGGGGAAAAAAAACCTGACAATTTAGACAGATTCTGACAAATGAAGCTAAGGTAGAGTTTAAAAGTAAACATCGAGATTAACCACCACTGCCCTGGCCAAGTAGCTTGGTCAGTTAGTGCCATCCCAATATGCCAAGCTTACTGGCTGGATTCCTGGTCAGGACACATACAAGAATCAACCAATGAGTGCATAAATAAGTAGGACAATAAATCGATGTTTCTCTTTCCCACCTTCTCTTTCTCTCTAAAAAAATCAATATTAAAAAAAAAAAGGATTAACCACTCCTTCCTTCACTGACTCCTAGATAATATGAAAACACAAAAAATCACATCCATCTTCAGGGATGGCACTTAGCTGTTAATAATGAGTCCTAACATCTATTCACTCAAGAATCTGCAATCATCACTTTACGGCTGACCCATGTTGACAGAAAAATTGATAGTCGTTTCCCTAAAGGAACACCAATCTGGCAGGGACCAGATAGTATTATTAAGTCCCAGCAGAGAAGAGAGAGCAACTCTTGAATTAGTTGTTCAAGGCAGAAGAAGTAACTTTTGAGCTAAATTTTGTTGAAAAGATCAATTTGGGAGCTGGGGGAAGGAGCTGTTGTGCAGGGGCAGGAATTCCAAGTAAAGGAATCAGCATGTATAAAAATAAATAGTATTAAATATTCCATTTTCTACTATCCTCAGTCTTTTCCTATACTCTAGAAACACTGCATATCAAATATCATTATTTAATACTATTGCCCTGGAGGGTAGGGTATAAATCTACAACGTAAGATGTTGAGGATTTAAAAATTACTTACCGTTGATCAAAAAACTTTCAGAAATTACCACACTTAAATAGTGTTATTTATTTCCTCAGAGAAATTTGTATACTCCCAGTCTTATAAATTACATGGATAATTAACTCCATAATGGAAGTATTAGCCTACAGAATCAACTGCTAGGAAATCTTTCACTTTCACTTTTAAAGTGAAAGTAAAAAAGTACCCCACGACAAAGCTGAAAAAGAACCTGCTCAAAATAGGTTCATTTTACTCTTACTAAAGATTCTTATCTGTTCCTAAGTTGTGAGCTCATACTCTTGATTTGTACAAAGGAATTCAGCAGTCAAAAAACACTATCAGCTTAAGTATTAACAAATAAAAATAAATTAATGTGAAGAAATAAGGATATTATCAACAGGAGACTTTCTTGATTCCACATTACTCATTCAGAAAACTGATCCTTCCGGTCTGCATTGTGGAGGATGACCTTACCTTCTAAACCAATTACAAGCAGAGATCCACCCACTTTTTGGAATAGTTTAGTGCATGACGGGATGTGTAGTTCTTAGGGAAGCAAGCACATACAACAATTTTAAAGTAGGAAAGAACACCTTCAGTCAAAAAAAAGAATCTGCTTTAAACTAAGCCTAACTATTCACAATTTTCCTGCAACTCACTTCATGCTGACCCCTGCAGTCACTGACGCACCACCCAGTTTTGAAACAGCCATTCTAATTAGTGACACCTCCTTAACAGCATGGTTATATGATTGGTAAGAGTTGTTTCTAAACGGTAATATGAGCCTAAAGATGTATAAAGACCACCTATGATATGTAATCAGTACTGCCAGTTAGCCACAGGAATGTCCTGGATACAAAATCTGTCACAAGCTAAAAACAAAATTCCTTGCCTCCAGCACCTGCTTCTAATTCAGGTGGTCTTCACTACAGGACTTCTAGTGTAACCCTCAACAGGTCCGTGGAGCCCCTGCAGTGAAGACCAGAGTTAGAAGCAGGTGAAAGTTCTACACTTTGTTTTACAGATACTTTTGAATACAGACAGTTTTTAATCAAGAGTAATTGTGGCAGGGGTGGAAAAATTAAGTACTGTTAATTAGCACGGATATACTGAGCTATCTCATGCGTTAAGATAATCAGTTTGCAATCTGCTGTGGTAAAGACTTGGGGTTAAAAAAATAAAACTCAGAGATTTATTACTGGGCCAGAAGTCCTATTTGCTCCCATCCCATCCCCAACTTTTTATTTTGAGTTACTTCTATCCCAAGGAATTTACACTCTTGTTCAGTGAAATTACCCTGGAGTATTTCTCCAACACTGGTTACTTTCTCATTTTACTGGAACATTTTTGGCGTTTTTCGAAGATTCCTAATTAAAGCTAACATTTTACTCTTGTTCACCTACTCTTTCTTTTTGACAGGATTCTGCTGGTGCTGGGAAGTAAGGGATCAACTTAATGGAGAAAGTGTGCACCCTGCGATGGACAAAATAATTGCTTGTCCCCCAAAGCACTTATGACCATTCTGCAACCACTGAGTGACCTTGGCTAGTAATCAATGGCTGTGGGGTCAGGGTCAAGAAGAAAGGAAGTACCCTAGGGGCCCAGGACCCCTGCACTATGAAAAACGTTCGCTTCCAGTACAAGGCCTTGGAATGCCTAGTCTCTAGAATGGAGAACATTAATACTGACTCACTCAGAAAGCTACCCATCCAAGGCGGGTAGGGGGATGGTTAAACCCTCTACAAATAGGAAGTGCTGCAAGAGCACCGAGATAAGGATATGGCCCGGCGTGAGAGGGGTCTCCGGGTTTCCTTCTCGGGTCTCGCCCACGGGAGACTAGCACTCACTTTTCAGCCCTCGACGAGGTACCTCGGCTCCCCGGGGCTGGGAAATTTGCCGGCTGCAGCCGGGGCGGCTGGAACGGTTGTAGGGCCCTGCGCTGCATAGGCCCAACTGGTCCCGCGCCTTCGCCCCCGGCCCAGCTCGGCCCTCCCTCTCCCGGCGCTGTGGCCTCACCAAGGGGCGAAGAACTCGACGAGCATGAGGCCCGCAGAGCCCGTGTCGGAAATGCGACTCTCGAAGTTGTCGTCCGTGAGTTCCAGCACGTCCGAGGCAGCAACTAGGCGGGCCGCGGCGAGAAGCAGCGTCACGCCGGGGAACAGTGCTGTGCGGCGGAGGCGCATGGCGACGAGGTGAGGTGGGGCGGCCAGCAGGGTCGAGGCTCCGTGGGGACTGCGAGAGTCAGGCCTGCGACCACGCACCCTCTGCCTGCGTTCTCGCTTCTAGCCGAGGCGGACCTGAAGCCGGAGATCCCAACCCCCTCACCCGGCTGGGGCCGCAGTGTGGCAGCCGCCGATTGGCTGTGCGGCGCCTGCGTCCGGCGGGCGGGACCAGCTGGTAACCGCCGAGTGGCCCAGGCGCGGGGCGGAGCCAAGGGGGCGAGCGAAAGGGCGAGAGGGCTGGGAGGTGGCCTGAGGTGGTGCTGGGGCCGGGGCTTGGGGCCTGGGGCTTGAGGCTTGAGGCTTGGTGGCTGGGTCCAGGGGGCTGGGGGTTGTTGGGTCCGGGTTCGGGTCCGGGTCCCTGGCTAGGCGGAATCCGGGGGTGTGGGCGGGGCGGGGCGGTGCAGAGCTGGAAATGGGGCACAGTGAGGCGGAGAGCAGACCCTAAGCGCGTCCTGCGTGGGAAGAGCCCCGGTGGTGCTGGAGGCGGAGGCCGAGGAGTGAAGTCAGGGCTGAGTAGGCGGAAGAGAGCCTGGGCTGAGGTGAGGGCCCCACAAGCGGGAGTTGAGAGAACAAACTGGCACCCGAGAGAGCGTTGAGACCGGATACATTTTCAAAATGTCAGGCCGTTGCTTTTTGTCCGTTCTTGTTTTTTCTTTCGGGGGCACCTTCAGACCCTCCCACTGCTCCACCAAATTGCATTGCCTGGTTCTCTCGGGCCTAGGTGGTGCCCGAAATTTTCTTTTTCCAGCCCCTGGACTCCTGCGCTTGTGGCTGCTGCTTATAATTAGAAATGCCGTCACGCAAGTAAAGGTGCCTGGCCACTTAGTCAACTGCGCGATATTCTGTTACGACTCTTGTCTCCTTTTGTTTCAAAAAACCTTGAGTCTTGGTACAATGTGTTTGTATTAAGGGCAAAGAGAGTGGGAGGAGGGGAAGAAAACGCCTGGTCTTTGGTGCAACTAAGAATGAAACGATATCTAATTCTTCCATTTCCTTAGCAGACATGGCCACTTACCGCCCAGCAGGACACGTGCAACTGCCCCGAGCTGATGCCATTCGTTCTCGTCTCATTGACACTTTCTCTCTCATCGAGCATCTGCAAGGCTTGAGCCAAGCTGTGCCACGGCACACTATCCGAGAGATACTTGGTCAGCAGTCTGTTTCTTCACAAGCAGAAACTCAAAACTCTTACCACACCCTCCTAAGAATAGGAAGCAGACGATTTTAAGCGTGGAAAATTTAGGGGAGATTGATTTGGTTGCTAATTTGGAGGTTACACCAAACTTGATAGTTAGTGTATGTGCTGCCGAAGTGAGCACACCAAACTTGATGAAGGTTTTAGAAATAAAGTTCTTTGAATCCAGGACATAGAATCCATGCCACTGCCCTTTAGGCCTAGGATAACTACTAGTCCTGGCTGATGTGTGTTTACCAAAGACACTTAAAACTTAAAGGGTTGAAACTGCTGCCTTTATTCTTAGGCATGGACAGTGTTGATCATAAGCAATACATTAGCTCTTTGAACTAATATTAGTTGCTGTGAGAAGGAACAGCAAAGGCAAGCCCCAGCACTAAGGGGCCCATTATGTAACCGGTATTCCTGCCCCCAATCCTACCTGCTCTTCAGATACCCTCAAAAACTTCTCTTTATCTATTGCCCCTTTCATATTTTGGTGTAGACCCTTCCCATCAGAAGAAACTTATGTTGGTAGATCAACACCAGCTTGTGCGCTTCTCTATAAAGCCTCGTCATGTAGAACGAATTACACACAGCCAGAGACTGATGAGTAGGTTTCAAGTACGCTGCAGTAAGAGACCACCTCTTTCTTTGTGGGCTGGGTGGGTCCTTGAGCGTATCCTTTTATGCCACTCATTTTTTTAAAGGTTTTATTTATTTATTTTTAGAGAGAGGGGAGGGAAAGGAGGAAGAGAGAAACTCAATGTGGGGTTGCCTCTTGCACACCCCCTACTGAGGACCCAGCCCGAAACCTAGGCATGTGCCCTGATTGGGAATCAAACCAGCAACCCTTTGGTTTGTAGGCCCGTGCTCAGTCCACTGAGCTACACCAGCCAGGGCGCATTTTTAAAAAACAATTTTATTTGATTTTTTAGAGAGGAGGTAAGGGGGAGAGAGAGAAACATCAATTTGTTGTTCCACTTATTCATGGTTGTTTCTTGAATATGCCCTGACAGGAGATGGAACCCTCAACCTTGGCTATCAGAAGGATGCTCTAACCAACTGAGCTACCCAGCCAGGGCCTCAAACCACTCATTTTTATTCCATGGCTTTACTGTCTCTCATCTCGTCATCTGTCTTATGACTTTTCTTTTCCCTCTCCCAAATCCGTTTTCTCCTCATTCTCACTGTTTCTATTCTTGTCCCTATTATTTCACCGGCATGAATCAGAACAAACATACATTGTTTCCTTAAGAGAAAACAGGTCCTCTCTTCACAAACTTCATCATCTTCCTCATCTTTTTGAATACAATTGTGCTGATGGTTGAAATAGGTGAGAACTGACATTGAATGAAAGAGAAAGTGGGTGGGAGTCATTTTTCCTTTAAATTGATTATTTTGCATTTTTGAGTATTATTTGAATTGTGATAGGCATAATTATGTTAAAGCTCCTGGAGTAGTATTCGTGCAACTGCTAAGATCTGGAAACATTTGGAGGACTCTCGGGAGAATAGGAGATAAAAGGTAGTCAGAGACTAGGGTGTGTGATAGACTCACAAGGAACAGGAAAGGCTAGTTATATTGTGCTTGTTTAGTCTAAATTTGTTTGAATCAGTCTTTCCTATTAGGGATATTGGTGCCCATAAGTGAGTGAGCCACTGTTTACATTTTTATATGTATATTTAGAAAGATTAAGTACAAATAAGAAAGCTGGCAAAGTATGTCAAGTTAGGTACAAGTAAGGTATTAAATGAGCCAAAAAAATGTCAAAGAGTAAATAACTAAAACCCATCATAAATTATATGCAATGTTTAACAATAAAAAATCTGGAGAATCAATGAGCTCATTTGATTATCATCTCAAACAACTACTTGGAAAAGAGAAAGGACACTAAAATAGCACTTCCTTGTTTCTTCCCACTAAAGTGGGAGTTTCCCCACTTTAAAACTGTCTTTAATGCAGTTAGGTCAGAGATATTTAAATACACCACAGTAATTGATGTCTGACCACAACAGTATACTTCATTCGCTTTGAATGTTTTATTTACTCCGAATATGGGGAGGATTTTGAACTATTTTCTGTTTCTTATATAACAGTCATGTATCTGCCCTGTGAGGTTAGGGATATAGTATAAAGCCTTGGAATAATAGCAATACATGTACAAGATTCCCTCTGTCTAATGGACAAATCAACAACAAAGAAAAAGAATAACACTAACCATTCTGTTTGGTAAAATGGCTGAATATGAAATATAATCACTGTGCTAGAGGATCAGTGGATTGCCAGAGTAGGAATTGCCTGGACAATCATGTAAATTGTATCTTTTTAAGTACATTCCCGTGGTAGAAAGGCAGGATGAATAATTTGTGACTAACAGATTTCTTTGAACAGACTAATTCATGTAATAAACATTAAGATTTTGTTTAGGCTTTTAAAAAACAATTTCCCAAATCACAAAAATGTTGTTATAGATAGGGAAAAAGTAGTTATTAACAGTTTTCTAGATCAAAGCTCCCCAATTTTTTTGGTCCTGTGATTTTGTTTCCCAGTAATACATATAGTCTTGAAAACTGCCTTAGGTGTTTTAATCTTTATTAATTAGTATGTGATATAAAGAAGCAAGTTGAAATAAAAATATTTTAGACTAGCAAATAAATACTGTATTTTAATGTTTATTATTATGTAATTTAAAAAATCATGAGCAAATGTTTACTTTTGGCATTTTATAAGTGATTCATGCTACTTTTTATTTTGGTTTTGTGTGTGTGTGTGTGTGGTCAAATTTACCAGCCTTTTGTAGTCTTAGTTTTCACAATACTTCTTCTTTTTTGGTTTATTTCTTTTTAAAAAACCATATTTTATTGATTATGCTATTACAGTTGTCCCAATTTTTTCCTCTTTGCCCCCCTCCTCCTGGTACCCCCATTCTCTCCAGCAGTCCCACCATTTAGTTCATGTCCATGGGGTGCGCATATAGGTTATTTGGCTTCACGTTTCCTATGCTATTCTTAACATTTCCCTATTTTGTACCTACCAATTATGCTTCTTATTCCCTGTACCTTTTCTCCTTCTCTCCCCTACCACTTGCAGCTGATAATGCTTCAAGTGATTTTCATCTGCTTTTCTCTTGCTGCTTTTAAGATTCTCTATCTTTAACCTTTGGCATTTTATTTTTTTTTAATTTTTTTATTGATTATGCTGTTACAGTTGTTCTATTCCCCCCTTCATTCCCCTCCACCCTACCCCCCATCCCCACCATTACCCCCCCCTTTAGTTTATGACCATGTGTCTCAATTCCTTTAGATTCTATATTTCCCATGCTATTCTTGCCCCCCATCTATTTTCTATCTACTGTCTATGCTACTTATTTTCTTTACCTTCTCCCCCCATCTCCTCCTCCCACTCCCCTGTTGCTAACCCTCCTTGAGATCTTCATTTCTATGTTTCCACTCCTGATCTAGCTGTCCTTTTAGTTTGCTTTTGTTTTAGGTGTGGTTGTTAATAATTGTGAGTTTGTTGTCCTTTCACTGTTCATGTTTCTTTAACTTCTTTTTCTTAGATAAGTCCCTTTAACATTTCATATAATAAGGGCTTGGTGATGATGAACTCCTTGAATTTGATCTTATCTGAGAAGCACCTTATCTGTCCTTCCATTCTAAATGAAAGTTTTGCTGGATAGAGCAATCTTGGTTGTAGGTCTTTGGATTTCATGACTTGGAATACCTCTTTCCAGCCCCTTCTTGCCTGTAAGGTCTCTTTTGAGAAATCTGCTGACAGTCTGATGGGGACTCCTTTGTAGGTGACTGTCCCCTTATCTCTTGCTGCTTCTAGGATTCTCTCCTTCATTTTAATCTTGGCTAATGTAATTATGATGTGCCTTGGTGTGTTCCTTCTTGGGTCCAACTTCTTTGGTACTCTCTGAGCTTCCTGGATTTCTTGGAAGTCTATTTCCTTTGCCAGCTTGGGGAAATTCTCCTTTATTATTTGTTCAAATAAGTTTTCCACTGGTGGCTGTGCCTTTCCCCCTTCTGGTACCCCTATAATTCGGATGTTGGAGCGTTTAAAGATGTCCTGGAGGTTCCTAAGACTCTCCTCATTTCTTTGAATTCTTGCTTCTTCACTCTTTTCTGTTTGGCCATTATTTGCTTTCTTCTGGTCCACTCCATTGATTTGAGTCCCAGTTTCCTTTTCATTGCTATTGGTTTCCTGTGCAATTCCATTCATTTCAATTAGTTTTGCCTTCATATATTTGTCTAATTTGTGGCTATAATCAACCAGTTCTGTGAGGATCCTGATCACCAGTGTTTTAAACTGTGGATCTGAGAGTTTTGCTATTTCTTCATTGCTTAGATATCGGCTCTGGGGCTTTGAGATCTTCTTGAGCCATTTTTGGTCTGTTCGTGTTAAGTCTGAGGAGCGGAGCCTTGGACTACCAGGTTGCTGGGTTGTGATGCTGTATGTGGGGGTGTGGTCAGAGCAGGGAAATGGTGGCACCCTCTGCTGTTTCTCACAGCTGGGTGAGGATTAGCGTCTTAGGTGGTTCACCTGGGCCGGGCCACTCAGAGTCGCTGGGTTATGACACTGTATGTGGAGGTGGGGTCAGAGCGGGGAAATGGCGGCGCCCTTCACTGCCGCTTGCCGAGGGGACCCGCCGGCCCCGGTCCAACCGCCCACTCCCTCGCCTGTCCGCCTGCGCACAAATGCGCGACCACAGTCAACATGCAGCACCGCTCCCCCGCTGTCTCCCCCGTGGTCGCTTGCATGGTGGCTCACTCGGTCGCTCACTAGGTCCAACCCTGCGCCTGGATTCCGCACTGGATTCCGCACCTGAGTCCGCCTGACCGAGACCTCCTGTGCAACCCCGCTTCACCAGCTGCTGGTTTTGCCCCTTACCGGTCAGGCTGAAGAATTTGTTGTTAACGGGCTTCCGAAAAGTTCAATTTTCTGTGTTCTGGCTGTGCTTTCTGTTGCTAATATTTAGTTGTCTCTAAACTTGGTTGTATGAGAAGGCACGGCACATCCACCTATGCCTCCATCTTGGCGGAAGTCCAACCTTTGGCATTTTAATATGATGTGTCTTGGTGTTGTCCTCTTTGGGTCCAGCTTATTTGGGACTCTGTGCTTCCTGGAATTATATGTCTATGAAGTTTTCTTTCATTATTTTTTCAAATAAGTTTTTAATTTCTTGCTTTTCCTCTTCTTCTTCTGGCACCACTATGATTCAGGTGTTGCTACATTTGGAGATGTCCCAGAGGCTTCTTGGTCTATCCTTACTCTTTTAAATTCTTTTTTTCTTCTTACTGTTTTGATGGAATGCTTTTTTCTTCCTTATGTTCCAAATCATTGATTTGGTACTCAGTTTCAACCTCTCCACTATTGGTTCCTGTAGATTTTTCTTTATTTCACTTAATGTAACCTTCATTTCTGCCTGGGTGTTTTTTATGCTGTTGCCATACTCAATGAGTTCTTTGAGTATCCTGATAACCAGTGTTTTGAACTCTGCATCTGATAGGTTTGTTATCTCTGTTTCCTTTAATTCTTTTTCTGGAGTTTTGTTCTGTTCTTTCAATTGGTCCATCTTTCTTTGTCTTCTCAATGTGACAGCCTCCCTGTGTTTGTTTCTGTGTGTTAGGTAGAGCTGCTTTGATTCCCTGTCTTAGTCATGTGGCCTGTTATAGAAGTGCAGACCTTCTATAAACATAGAGGGCTCTGCCACCTAAGGGGCAGAGCCTTTAGGTGATCACCAGGGCAGGGCAACTCGTTTCACTGCTTTGTGGCTCTGTTTTAGGGAAGGGCTCTGAAAAGGGACAATGGTACTGCCTGACTTCTGGAGGTTTGCCTAGGAGGAGGCTGTCCCTTAGCACTTGCTCTGTCTAGTCTCTTCACTTTCTCCCTGTATGTCACTTGTGCCCTTCCAGCTGTTGCCCTGGTGCTAAATCCCAGAGGGTTGGGTCTGCATGAGTCCTAAATCCATGCAGGCCCTTTAAGAGGAGTCTCCTGATAATCTGGCAGTTTCTTCCACCAGCCCAACCTCCTCTAGTTTTTACAGCCAGAAGTTATGGGGATTTATCTTCCTGGTGCTGGAACCCTAGGTTGCTGAGTGGTCTGGGGCTGGGATCACTCACTCCCCAGAGATCCCTCCTAGTTTTTATCCACCACATGTGAATGTGGGAGTGCCTGTTTTGCCTCTGCTGTGCCTCTCCTGTGGTGCCTTGCCTCTCCACCTGTCTCCACGTCTCAGCCCCTCCTACATGTCTGGATGATTGTGGCTTCTTTAAGTCCTTGGTTGTTGGACTTCCATAGGGCTCTGTTTTCTGATGGTCTGAGTGATTTGTTTTATAGTCTAGCAGTAATTTTTTTCTGTAGTCATGCGAGGAGGCAAAGTATGTTTACCTATGCCTCCATCTTGACCAGAAGTCCATGCTATTTTTTAAAGAAAATATATGATTTATCTACAAATGAACTTTAAAATGACATTAAGTTTGGCTTGGGGATCAAATATATTTTATGTATTATATAGTTTTAATTTAATTTTTAAAATTGAGATAATTTACATACCACATTAGTTTCAGGTTTATAACATTACATATTATATATTAAATACATGTAGTATATGTTAAACTTTAGATGGGAAATGATGTATTAAGGCATAGAAATAGCAGTTTGTGTTCTTCAGGGTGGTTGAGTATGCTCTTCTTCCATTAACTGCCAAGCATATCAGTCATAGAGCATTTGCAGGCTGTCAGTTTATCCTATTTCACAGGGAGATGTATTGAAGTTTTAACCTGTACGCCTATTTTAGTCTTCATGTTTTTTTCAATAGCATGGTATACATCCATTAAATGTATAAATGATATGAAGAGGGTTGAAAGGTGAAGCAATGAGTTAAGGAACAGCAGTTAGCTAATAGTAGGGTTCTAGAAAGAAAGTATAGGATTCAATTTGCTTTGCAGAACAAAATCAATTTTGTACAAGGAAGGGAAAGTTTTAAAAGCTAACAAATAAGGAACCAACAATTTCTTATTGTAACTCAATACGCTCTATGAATCTGGCTTCTTGCTTCTGTATCCCTTATAAAGCACTTAACATCTCATGGCCCTACATTTTCATTCCATTCTCAAGGCTCATCGCTTCTTTGTGAAATTTGGGACTTGGGGGTAACAGTACAGTAGACAGGGTTAGGGTAGTTAAGAGATGAGTCCCTAGGCGTCTGTGTGACCCCAGCGTGGGAAGGCAGTGACTTGCAGCTGTTCGGCATATTGATCACCAGCAGAAGAAATGGGTCGTCGCTGTTTTCCACATTCAATTGGGTCCTCCCCTGTGTTTCGCATGTTGAAGCAGCAACGGTGATTAGAGAAACTCAAAGAAAAATGTAATAGCAGTGGGCACAAATGTGGTTTATAATAGATTGTGATCATTCTCTATCATTCAGCTTCCCACTTCCTTAACCTTTACTTATCCTTTGCTCTACTCTCACAGAACTGCTCGAATCCTCTAACACCAAACTGTGGCCAATGAAGCTGACTCTGGAGGTGGCAGCTTGGTTCATCTTATTTATTTTTATCTTGGAGATCCTGCTTATGTGGCTATACAGCTTTTTTCTCTTCTGGAAGAATGCCTGGAATGTCTTTGATTTTGTTGTTACCATATTGGTAAGGGTAGATATCTTGATGATTAGTTTAGTGGGCTGGGCAGTGTGTCTAGGTGAATCAAAGTGACAAGAAAAGTTAAGATAATTAGATTACAGGGAGAAACAAATACAAATATATTTAACTTTCTTTTTTTTCTTCTAAAAGTCAGTCATTGTAGGAATTGTTGGCATTGCAAGGCAGAATCTAACCACAACATTAACCCCAACCACAACATTAACCCCAACAATAATATCTACCAGTTACTAAGCACTTAATAAGTGCCAGGGGTTCTAAGTGTTTTACATGTATTTTCTCATTTGAGCTCCACAACAACCTAATGAGACACACACTCCATTTATCACCTTTTTATGTCTGAGAAAATTGGAGTACAGAGTTTAAGTAATTTAGTATAGAAAGACTGAATAGGAAACAGTCACTAGAGAATGTTATTCAAGAGATGATGCCCAAGGAACTATGAAGACGACCAGTAATGAAGGGGCAGCTGTGCATCAGTGCTTTGGGTATATTTTATTCATAATCTGTGTGTTTTCCACAGTCCCTGCTTCCTGAGGTTGTGGTGCTGGTAGGGGTAACAAGGCAGTCTGTATGGCTCCAGTTGCTGAGGATCTGTCGGGTGCTAAGGTCTCTCAAACTCTTTACACGATTCCCTCAAGTTCGAGTCATTATTTTGGCCCTGGCCAGGGCCCTCAAGGTGAATTGACTATAGTGGCAAAACCAGGTGGGCAAGGTGGATAAACTTGGGAGTTACACGAAACAAGTCTGGGTGGGTCAAAGAGGGCAATGAAAAACCCTGTGATCTATTATTGGATGAGAAAGCAGTGGGGTCAAGCTGCTGTGTTCTATAGATGATGGGGCTTAGGACTGGAAGTGAGGGTTTGGTGGGGGATTGCCAGGGTGGGCTAGACTGGGCTGTAGGTGGAGATCAGCCTAGTCTGGCCCAGCTCTGACTTGAAGTCATGGCCTCTAGAGCATGACCTTCCTTTTGATGTTGCTGATGATCTTCTTCTACATTTTTGCTGTGACCGGTGTCTACTTCTTTGAGAATTACACCCGTTCAACTCGCCCGGACCTGAAGTACCGCATGTTCTTCTCGTAGGCAGGACTGGGGGAAACCTGGGTAGGGGGAGAGAATTTGGGTGAGAGACTGGGAAGTAGTCCAATGTATAGTAATACAAAGAGTATAGACTATTTTAAGAAAGTGGAATGGAACACAGGAGAGACAAAGAGAATACAAAAGAATAGTGGTATTCAATTTGATTTTCAGGATAGGGCAGCTACCAGATTTGCTCTGGGTTTTTCTGTTTTTTGTTTGGTTTTTAAGATTTTGTTTATTTACTTTTAGAGAAAGGAAAAGGGAGGGAGAAAAAGAGGGAAAGACACAACATTGTATGGGAGATCACATACCTCCAACTGGGGACCTGGCCTGTAACCCAGGCATGTGGCCTACTGGGAATTGAACCAGTGACCTTTTGATTTCCAGGCGAGCACTCAGTCTTCTGAGCCACACTTGCAGGGGTATTGCTCTGGTTTGTCAAATCATATGCACCAGATGGGCCTTCTTTAAATAGCAATATACTCCAGTGGTTAAGCCCTGGCTTCTAAACCTCAGTTACCCCGTTTGAAAAATGGTAGTAAGAGTGAAGGAATAAATGAGGTAATTCATTTAAGCATTTAGAGTATTAAACACACATTGTAAGTGATAATAAATGTTACTCTCAAACATGCTCACTGGTTTTACCCCAGTCTCTCTAGGTGTGTGGATTATGCATGCACACACCTAAACTCGTTTAAAAATAAAATCCTTATAAGATCTTTGTCTAGAGAATACTGACTACTAGTATAAAGTCAATATGGATTCAGAGGTGATAATGTTTTTATGAATTAGAATCCAATCTTGTCAGTGCTTCTCAGCTCTCTTGGTAGTTTTATAAAAAAATGCCCTGGCTGGTGTGGCTCAGTGGATTGAGCACCGTTCTGTGAACCAAAGGGTCTCTGGTTCAATTCCCAGTCAGGGCACATGCCTGGGTTATGGGCTAGGTCCCCAGTAGGGGGCATGCAAGAGGCAACCAAACACTGATGTTTCTCTCCCATCCCTTCCTTCCCCTCTGTCTAAAAATAAATAAATAAAATCTTTTTTAAAAAAAAAGTACGAGTGAGGAAAGTTCTAGAAGTTATCCTATTCCAGCCCTTATGTTTTCAACAAATTGTATATGGAAGACTAAAAAGGAAAATTTAGCTACCTTCCTGACAGCTTTTGTGATATAGCCATTATCATTCATTACTTGACATCACATATTTAGGTCAAATCCATTTGTTTACTTATCAGTTCATAACAACAAACTAAATTGGAAGGATGTTTGTTAAATTTGTAAGTGATGTTCTGTTAGGTGAAGTCTGTAGGACAGTGGAGAATAAACTTACAAAAAATGACAAGTAGTTGGTGATTCATACAACTTTTAAAAATTCAGTCACTACCTATTTATTAAATACCTACTGTGCCCCAACTATTAATGGAATAGTAATTGAAATTCATAGATTATTCATAGTAGAGGAAAACCTAATGAAACAACCTCAAACTGAAGTATAATTAGCTAAAAACTTGAGTATGGGAGAAAAGAAGCCAGAATCAGAGAAAACTATAAAGAAATGCTCTTATGTTGCTTTTAGAGTGAGAATTTAAAAAACAGTGAGAGTGAAACTATTTCTTCCAGATTTAGATCTCCGTTTTATCTACTCACACACCTTTTTCTTTAGGGACCTGCTGAATTCCCTAGTAACAGTGTTCATTCTCTTCACTATGGATCATTGGTATGCACTGCTTCAGGACACCTGGAAGGTGCCTGAAGTCAGCCGCACCTTCAGCAGCATCTATGTCATCCTTTCGTTGTTACTTGGTTCCATTATCTTTCGAAACATCATAGTAGCCATGATGGGTAAGCATAGAAAAGGTGAAACTTGGTGGGAGGGATGGGTAGGAAGAAATTAGAGTGAAAGCTAGGGTTGGTGGGTTATGGAGGGAGAGAAGCTGATATGGCAGGAAGGCTCGGGGCCAGTAATGGCTATTTCACTTGGTTTCTCCCCACATAAGCCCTCTCCCTGGGTCTTGTCATCACCATCCCCAGCTCCTAATGGTCCTTTGGGGCAGTTACTAACTTTCAGGCTATCAGGACCGACCTGAATGAGGAGATGACACACCTGGAGGTTCAGCACAAAGCCGACATATTCAAACGGCAGATTATCCAGAGGTCTGTTTCCCAATTTTCAAACCCAACTTTAGTTCCCAAAGGTTTCTTGACCTTACTCCCTTTCTCTCTTCTATGGCTTTGACCCCACTTTTCCTTACAACAAATTTGCCCAAGATTTAGAATGCCCCAGTTCTGTAATATTGCCTGATTCTTTATCTACTGTTGGAGTTTCCCTACTCTTTTTCACCCCTTTACTATAATTTTTCCTCCTTGCTTACTTAGTTTTCTTCACTTCATTTTCAACCCTTTAGTATAATTTCTTCACTTCAGTTTTCTTTTATCTTTAATAAACTCCTGCTTCAGTATAACTCTCTTTACTTGTTTGTGTATTTTGCTTTTCAGGAGACAAAACCTGTCCCCTGAGGCACTGAGGTCAAGCCTTAGCAAAATTGATGCCAGGTTAGGAGTGTGTTTGTGAACTGGGATGTACACACATGAGGGAGGAGAAGGTAGAAAACCAAAGACAAATATTGGCTTTGAGAGAGAATTCATTCATTCAATAACTACTGATTGTAGTTGGTTGCATGGCAGCCCCCCCCCCAAAATATGCCCATGTCCTAACCCCCAGAACCTGTGAACATGACTTTACTTGGAAAAAAGGTCATTGTAGATGCAATTAAGTTAAGGACCTTGAGATATGATTATGCTGGGTTATTCACGTAGGCCCTAAATCCAGTGACAAGGCTCCTTATCAGAGACAGAAGACATAAACATAGAGAATAGGAGAAGGAGATGTGAATATAGAGAGAGTTTGGAGTGATGCAAGCACAAGCTAGAAGCCACGGAGTACCAGGCAGCTAACTACCAGAGCTAGAAGAAGCAAGGAACTCATTTCCCCTAGAACTTCCAGAGGGAGAATAGCCCTGCCATTGCCTTGATTTCAGACTCTGGATTTCAGAATTGTGAAAGAATAAATTTCTGTTGTCTTAAGCTACCAGGTTTGTCATAATTTGTTAACAGCAGCCACAGGATATTAATACATGTATCTTTTATAAAACAGATGCTATTCTAGACCCTGAATATTCAGTAGTGGGCAAGAGAGCAAAAGGGGAAATAATCTCATTCATCCATTCAACAAATAATTACTGAATACTTTTTAGATGCATGGGATGTATTGGGTGGGGGGGTTGTACATTGGTTATAATCTTTAACAAGTTAGTCAGGGTGGCCTGGTAACATTCGAGCAAAGACTTGGAGTAGGTGAGATCACTATGGCAGAAATGTTATAGGCAGAGGGAACAGTTAGTACAAAGGTCCTAAGCCAGAAGCATGCCTGATGTGTTTAAGAAACATCAAGAAACCATTGTAACTGGAACAAAATGAGCAGGGGGAAAGTGATAGGAAATAAGTTCAGAGAGACAAAGGGGACCCTATCCTGTAGGGCTGTGGGGATCCTAGTTTATAGGACTGTGGGGACCATTGTAGGGACTTAGAGACTTTGACTCTGAATGAAATGGGGAACAGAACAGATCAGTGACATGAAATGCCTTACATTTAAGAAGGATTACTCTAGTTGCTATGTTGATAATAGGCTGTAGAAGAACAAGGGAAGGAACAGAAAGATGAGTTAGGAAGCTGTGCTGCTATCAAAGCTGAAGGTGATAATGGCTCAGACCAGAATGGTACCAGTAAGAAATGATATATTTTGAAGGTAGAGTCAACAAGATTTGATGGATTGGATGTGGGGTATGTATGAGAGGAGAGTTCAGGATGACTCCAAAGTTTTGGCCTGAGCAACTGGCAGAATGGATTAGCTGAGATGGGGAAGGCTGTTGGTAGAAGAGATATGGTAGGTAGAGTTTAGTTCTGGTTAAATCTGAGATGTCTATTAGACATTCAAGTGGTGATTTATGATTCAAAGTTGTATATACTAGTTTGAATTGAGTGGGGTCTGGACTAGAGGTTTAAATTTGCATTTAGTAGGCAATTAAGCTCAGCTGAGATCACCAAAGGAGTGACTATAGAATCAGGGGTGTCCAACCTTTTGGCATTTCTGGGCCATACTGAAAGAAGAGTTGTCTTGGGCCACACATTAAATACATTGTGATATGTAATCACACACAAAAAAATCTCATAATGTTTTAAACAAATTTATGATTTTGTGTGGGCTGCATTCATAGCTATCCTGGGCTACATGTGGCCCACAGGTCGTACATTGGACACCCCTGTATAGATGAAGAAGATAAAAAGACCAAGAGCTGAGCCCAGGGACACTCTACTATTAAGAGACAGAACTGTGTGGGGAAAGACTATAGATATGGTATAATAGGCATAGGGCTATGGTGTGGGGAGCTAAAGCTTGGCAAAATAAGGTTGGGTGTGCATTGTGGAAGCCTGAGTAAAACTGAGGACAGAAGCTATGTGGTGAGGGACACTAATACAGATATAGTACATGGAATAATTGTGGTTGAAAGTGCTTAAGCTTGGATTTTGGGCTTGTGTATACAATAACCTGTATATGCAACAAGCAGCTTGGCCTTCATAACCTTAAGTCTCAGCATTAGGGAATGGCCAGGGCCTGAACCAGAATAATGAAAGAGCAAATCGTATCTCATAAATATATTTCAAGCAATAACATTTCCATTTTCACTTATAGAGATACCAATCAACAAGTGGAATCTTTGGACTTATCAGAAACATTTAAAGTAGAATCTGAAACCAGTGCCATTGAAGAGGATTCAGGAGCATCTGAGTCAAAAACAAAAGAATCTTTATCAAAAAAGACAAAATCTTCATCTTCTTTATATTCTACCTCTTCCTTCTTTTCCTCTTCTTCTGAACCTGGAGGGTTGGACTCTATTGGTAAGCAGAGGGCTTCTTCCACTTTTCTAGGAAACATCCTAGTCTTAACTATACCTACTTCCCAGTTTTTTGTACCAGTCTGATTTTCTGTCTTAGTTACTTTCTTTGTGCTTCTTCATTTCCTCTATACTTTTGCTTCACTTTGGGTAAGTGTGGCTGTGGCTGTCTTTGCCTATTGTAAAATGTGGTCTCTTGGTGATGCACCCTTTACCATCCTTCCTGCTTTTTGTTTCCTCTTTCATCTCTGCTTTTCCCCTTCCCCTCACACACCATAGGATTCACCAGTTCTTTCCCAACTTCCACAAATCTATATGTCTTTAAGAAGAATTCTTCTCTCCAGGTCAGTTGGATTGGGAGACTCATGTGCACCAGAATCTGCCTGGGCTAATGGACATGGACGAGGAAGAACGTGTTGTGTGGCCTAGAGATTCACTCTTCCGATATTTTGAATTGCTAGAAAAGCTTCAGTATAACCTAGAGGAGCGTAAGCGCTTGCAAGAGTTTGCAGGTATGGATTTGGGGCAGTCATAAGGACCAGGAATTAACTACATTGGAGTAGCATATATAACTGAGGATAAGGGGGTGGATGATCACTATTTTGATATCTCAGTGTCTGAATTTTCATCTCATACCTAAAAAGGGCAAATATTTGGTTTGGGATGTTACCTTCTGGACGTATGTCCCAATTTTTCTAACCTAAAGAGAACCTGGCAATTTTGCTTCTTCAGTAAGGGGCACCTAAATCCTTTCAGGTCTGAGAGCTTGTTTCCCAAGAGGATTGTGTTCCATTTGTTGGGAATTAAGACAAGGTGGGCTCTTGCTTCTTTTGGTGGCCCACTCTCTTTTGTACATGTGCCTTCTCTCTGAAGGCCACATTTCAGACCTGAGCAGTAGGGCCTTAGGCTCCAGATTTTGAGACTGTGTGTATGATGACTGATAGCTGTTAGAATTAGACATTGAACAGAATGGCCACAAGTGCCCACTTCCTTCAACCCACGAAAGAGGTTTATGAATTATAGACTTGTCTTCCTTTCAGCACCTTCTAGTGTCAGCCTAGGCAAAGAGAAATATGTGATTTAAATAGTAGAGCTATTTTCTCTAAATTTCTCACTTGAAATTTTTCCAGTTGGAGATTAGATTAGATTAATAAATTTTTGCTCTAGAAATGAAAACCAAAAGAGTTAGACCCCATCTTTTTTTTACAATTTAATATGGATTAGTGTTATCTTCCTCATACTTAGTTGAAATCAACTCGCTGTGAAAATAACAATTAGGAAAGAGGAATATATGTGTGTGGTGGGCATAGGAGGGCAATAAGAGAAATTTATAACACTGGAATGTGGAATTTAGAACAGGATGTCAAAGGAGACATTCACCTACTTCAGAATGTTGCCTAAGGCTAATCCTGCTCTTTCCAGTTGTCCTCAGCCTTGCCTTCCTGCTTGTTCTCCAAGGAGAAAGGGTGAAATAGAGAAGGCAGCAAGGCAGCTTCTTTAATCCTAAGTAATTCATCTATGGCAAAAAGTACAAGTGTATATGGCTTAATTTTTTAAATTTATTTTTCATTATAGTTGACATACAACATATGGCTTAATTTAATGTAAAGATATTAATTGATCATAAAAATTTGTGTGAGAACCTGGGAAAGCAGGGTATTAAAACACTTGTATGTATTGCATATTCTTAATTCTCCAGTCTCATAGTCTGTTTCTTTACAGTGCAGGCACTGATGAACTTTGAAGACAAGTAAAACCAATGATGGATGGCTTTGGCAACAGATAACGAAGGGAATAGTTGGAAATGGAGAATTCAAAGTATAAATGTTTAATAAATACTACTGATAATTGCTCAGTGGCCTGTCTCTGAGACATAGGGGATACTGAAAGGTATAAGATTAGGTGAAAAAGTTAGTTTAAATGCCAATGGGGCCTGTGGTCCTTGGCTTTCTGCACTTTCCATAGCTACTCAGACTACCTTTTTCTTTGACTTTGTAACTTCCTACCCCTCTTGCAAACTCTGCTTCCTGATAGAGTCCTAACTTTACCCTCAACTTCCCTGGTGGGTACAGGCCTCTCTGGTTGGGATTTGGGGAAAGGAGATTCCCTAGAACTATTGACGTAACTAATGAGAACTATTGTTTCCATTATCTAGAAATATTGCTTCTCCTGTGTACCATTAATTTTCTTAAAATAGCTTTTATATTGCCCTAGTTGGTGTATCTCAGTGGATTGAGCACTGGCCTATGAAGCAAAGGGTCACTGGTTTGATTTCCATTGAGGGCACATGCCTGGGTTGCAGGCCAGGCCCCCAGTAGGGAGCAAGCCAGAGGCAACTACACATTGATGTTTCTCTCCCTCTCTTTCTCCCTCCCTTCCCCTATCTCTCTAAAAATCAATAAATAAAATACTTTTTAAATAGCTTTTGTATTGTATTTTTTGCATTACCATTTGTCCTTCTTATATCCTCTTTCACCTCTCCCCTCCCCACCACAATCACCACACTACCGTCCATGTCCATGAGTTCTTTTTCTTTTTTGCTCAATCATGCCACCCAATGCCCTCCCACCCCAGCCCAGAGCTGTCATCCTCCTCTCCATCTATGAGTCTGTCTCTATTTTGCTTATTAGTTCAGTTTGTTCATTAGATTCCATATGTGAGTGAAATCATATGGTATTTGTCTTTCTCTGACTGACTTATTTCACTTAGCATAATGTTCTCCATATCCATCCACGCTGTTGCAAAGAATAAAATTTTCTTTTACATGGCCAAGTAATATTTCATTGTGTAAATGTACCATAGCTGTTTTATCCATTCATCTACTGATGGATAAATCAGTACTTGGGCTGCCTCAAAATCTTAGTGATTGTCAAAAACACTCCAATGAACATAAGGGTACTTACGTTCTTTCAAAGTAGTGTTTTGGGTTCCTTCAGATATATTCCCATAAGTGGGAGAGCTGGGTTGAAAGGCAGCTTTATTATTTTCTTAAAGGATTTTATTTATTATTTTTAAAGAGAGGGAAAGGAAAAGGGAAAGAGAGTGAGAGAAACATCAATGTGTGTTTGCTTCTCACACACCCCAGCAAGGACCGGGGACCTGGCCTGCAACCCAGGCATGTGCCCTGACTGGGAATTGAACCAGTGACCTTTTGGTTCACAGGCTAGCACTCACCCCACTGAGCCATACCAGCCAGAGTTGCTGTACAAAAACTTTTTAGTTTGATGTAGTTCTATTTATTTATTTTTTCTTTTCTTTCCTTTGCCTGGAGAGATATATCCAATAAAATATTGCTACGAGCAATGTCTGATATTTTGCTGCCTATGTTCTACAGTTTGTATGGTTTTGGGTCTAACATTTAAGTCTTTGATCCACTTTGAATTTATTCTTGTGTGTGGTGTAAGAAGGTGGTCTAGTTTCATTTTTCTGTGTGTATCTGTCCAACTATCCCAATACTACTTATTGAATAAACTGTCTTTATCCAGTTGTATGTGCTTGCTTCCTCTGTCAAATATTACTTGACCATAAAGGTGTGGGCTTATATCTGGGCTCTCTATTCTGTTCCATTGGTCTATGTGTTTGTTTTTATGAAAAGGCAGTTCCATTTTTAACTTTTTGAGGAAACTCCATACTGCTTCCCAACTTTTTTTTATTACTGGTTTTTCTTAGAAAGAAAACAATGATTTGTTGTTCTAATTATTTATGCATTCATTGCTTGATTCTCATATGTGCCCTGAGTAAGGATCAAACCCACAAACTTGGCATATCAAGACAGCACTCTAACCACCTTGGCTGGTGTGGCTCAGTGGATTGAGTGCTGGCCTGTAAACCGAAGAGTCATTGGTTCAATTCCCAATCAGGGCACATGTCTGGGTTATGGGCCAGGTCCCCAGTGCGGGGCACATGAGAGGCCACCACACATTGATGTTTTTCTCCCTCTTTTCCCCTCTCTCTAAAAAAAAAAAAAGCAATGCTCTAACCAACTGAACTACCTGGCTAGGGTATGTGTACCATTGACTTTATTGTTTTCACCGGTTTTGGGGCCAAAAGAGAGTCCCTTATTTCAATTCCTTGCCATTGCTCAGAGCAGTGATTCCACTGTTTAGAAGTGTTCAAATCAATATATGTCCCACAGATTCTAGCATTAGAAGGGACTTCAGAATTTATCTCCCATTAGAACAGGAACATGTTTTAGAACGTCACTAAAAGGGGGATTATCCAGGTTATGCTTAATGTCTCTAGTTGCAGGGGATCCCATCCCATTGTTGGATGGCTCAAGTCTTTAGAAATGATTATTATTAAAATTCTATCGCCTTCTGAGTGGTTAACTCATACATACTTAAAAAACTTTGAATTGTATACTTTAAAATGGTGAATTTATGTAATGTAAATTGTATCTCATTTTTGAAAATGAATAGAGATATCTAAAACCAAGAATCAACATTGTGTTTTAAGGAAAAGCCCTGTAGTCATTCCCCATGAAATGAAAACAAAAATGTTTCTTAAACAAATGTCAATATATAATTTTTATTAAATATTTTATGATAAGAAATGCAGCATAGGACTTCTGCCAAGATTGAGGTGAAGGTGGAAACACTGTGTCTCCTCCCAGAACCAAGTTTAAAAACAACAAAGTTTTAGTTATAAAAATGCAACCAAAACACAGAAAATTGAACTATATGAAAGTTTGACAATAACAAACTGTTCAGCAGACTGGTAAGAGGGGTGGAGCCAGCAGCGGAGTCTGGCAGGAAAGATCCCCTGACCCAGGCATGCAGGCAGCCGTGGGCGGATCTCAGGCATGGGGTAGCAACGGGTGGACCCAGTGAGGGCGCAAGGCAGCAGGCTGACCGCCGTCACACATTTTTGTGCAGATAAACCAGCGAAGGAGTGAGAAGTGAGACAGACCGCGCAGGCCCCAGTGGCAGGAAGCAGCAGAGGGGACCTTTATTGCCCCTCTTTGACCCTGCCCCCACATACAGCGTCACAATCCAGTGACTGAGTTGCCCCACCTTGGTGAACATCTAAGGCTCTGCTCTTCATACGTAACAGGCACGAACAGACCAAAACATGGCTCAAGAGGAACTCAGAGCCCCAGAGCCGATAACTCTAAGTGAACAAGAAATAGCCAAACTTTCAGATGCACAGTTCAAAACACTGGGGATCAGGATGCTCACAGAACTGGTTGATTTTAGTCACAAATCAGAGGAACAAAATTAGAGGAAGGCTAAACTAATAGAAATGAAGGGAAATGCACAGGAAATCAATAGTGATGGAAAGGAAACTAGGACTCAAATCAAGGGAGTGGACCAGAAGGAAGAAAAAAATCACCAAACAGAAAAATATGAAGAAACAAGAATTCAAAAAAATGAGGAGAGGCTTAAGAACCTCCAGGACATCTTTAAACGCTCCAACATCCGAATTATAAAGGTACCAGAAGGGGAAGAGAAAGAGCAAGTGGAAAACTTATTTGAACAAATAATAAAGGAGAACTTCCCCAATCTGGCAAAGGAAATAGACTTCCAGGAAATCCAGGAAGCTCAGAGAGTCCCAAAGAAGTTGGACCCAAGAAGGAACACAATAAGACACATCATCATTATATTAGCCAAGATTAAAATGAAGGACAGAATCCTAGAAGCAGCAAGAGATAAGGGGACAGTCACCTACAAAAGGAGTTCCCATCAGACTGTCAGCTGATTTCTCAAAAGAGACCTTACAGGCAAGAAGGGGCTGGAAAGAAATATTCCAAGTCATGAAAGAAAAACCTACATCCAAGATTGCTCTATCCAGCAAAGCTTTCATTTAGAATGGAAGGACAGATAAAGTGGTTCTCAGATAAGATCAAATTCAAGGAGTTCATCATCACCAAGTCCTTATTATATGAAATGTTAAAGGGACTTATCTTAGAAAAAGAAGATAGAAAAGATGAACAGTGAAAGAACAACAAACTCACAGTTATTAACAACCACACCTAAAACGAAAGCAAACTAAAAGGACAGCTAGATCAGGAGTGGAAACATAGAAATGAAGATCTCAAGGAGGGTTAGCAACAGGGGAGTGGGAGGAGGAGATGGGGGGAGAAGGTACAGAAAATAAGTAGCATAGACAGTAGATAGAAAATAGATGGGGGGGGGCAAGAATAGCATGGGAAATATAGAACCTAAAGGACTTGAGACACATGGACATAAACTAAAGGGGGGTAATGGTGGGGATGGGGGGGCAGGGTGGAGGGGAATGAAGGGGGGGAATAGAACAACTGTAACAGCATAATCAATTTTAAAAAAAATTTCGTATTGGTTTTTAGTGGGAGAGAGTAAATGAATTATTTAAATTAATTCTTACAACTCTATTAGAGTTAAATTAATTCTCACTACTCTACACAGCTAGTAAATATTGGACCCAGAATTCAAATCTAGGCCATCTCATTTTTTGCTACTATATTAGTAGCAAAAAATATTAGAGAAAAAGGAGACTTTATTATGAGGGTTTTTAAAGAACCAAATGCAGAAACTCATGTGAATTGCAGGATGGGCTGGAACCAGGAGCTAGAGAGCTGTTGGGAGCCCAGGTAATGTTCTTTCTCTAACTATCCTCTTAGCTTCTCAGACTAAATGTGGTACCTTTGATGGGAAAAGGGAAAATATTGGTAAATTGAAGCAATAGATCATTTTACTGGTCCCAACTTTTGGCTCTCCTTGGAAAATCCCAGCACTACCCTCAACTCCTTCTGCAGCCTGGGCCAACTCATTCCATTTCTTTGAGCATTAATTTCCTCATTTATAAAGCGAGAAGTTTTTACTGGAGGATTCCTCAGTTCTCTTCCAGCTCTAAAATTCTATGCTCCTGAGTGAACCTTCTAGGACAGAGGTGCATTAATAATGAATTTGAAGGTGTAGGTTTGGGGAATAAAATAGAAGATGGTTCTAAAGAAAGAGGGACAAACTAATGGTCTGAAGAGAGCCACAGCGTTGAATTACCGTTTAGACCTGGTGTCAGGTAAAGACCTTTGGGGATATATAAATGGAGGACAGAAAAGACTTCTCACCCTGATACAAGACCAAGTTATTTTGAGTGAGATCTCTCTGACCTATGACCAGTTCTCTTTCTTTATCTCTCTCTCTTTCCCTCCCTCCCCCACCCCACTCCCCTCAGTTCCCTTATACAGTGGTTTAATCTGGTTTATCTCTTTTCTCGGCCCAGAATTTTCTTTAGGGCTTTTCCTCAGATCTCAGTAAGAGAGCCAGCAGGCAAACCCAAACATTTGAATGGGCTAGTGAGCAAATCTCAAACAACTGACTGGGTCTATTTCCTCATCCATAAGATGAGGGGTTTGGTCTGTGTGCTCCTTGAAGTCCCGCCCAGCTCTTCGCATTTTATGGTTCTGGGTACTGAATCAAAAGCAGACCTCCTCTTCCTCAGTGCTCCATGCTTGGACCAGAACTTTTCTCCATTCCTCTTCTCTGTTTACACCTGGCTTTCAAGTTCTTTTCTCCTGCGCTCCCTTTCTTCCTCAATTCCCTCAGATCCTACTTTGTTTTTAGCTCCTTTGAACCCTCTTTATTTTCTTATATTTTTCTGCAGAGACCCCAGAGTACACCCTGGGTCTCCAGTTTTCCATCTCCATGTCTGTCTACTCCTAATTGCATTCAGGCTCCTAACTGAAGCTATCCTCTTGGGTTCCTCCAAGGGCCCCCTGGGATCCCCTATCATTTGTTCCTCTCACAGAAGCACACCTTTCTCCAAAGTCGAAGGATCAGGTATTCAGTGGCTCAGGTGACAAACCTGCTGTCAGGTTACAGATATTGTTTCCTGAAAGACCACACTACAGTGTCAGTGGAG